AAAATCTTTTTCCTTTCATAATAACGCGCTCAAGGAGGCTCTTTTGAGTTCAGAGATTCCAGGTTTATTGGAGTACCAATATTGGGAATCGCAGCGAAAAGAGTAAAATAGATGAAGATGGTAGAGGCTATAGGGACATTAAATTAAAAGGGATTTGATGAGCTGAGTAAAATGGATGGATTTTTAAGCTGTATTCAGGATTCATCAAGGAAATAGTCGCTATGAATTGCTGCAGGGAATAATAGAAGTAGGAGAATTGAATGAATATTTTAAATGTCACGTTTGCTTAATAGTCATTCTTTTTAATAGAATAGATTCAATCGAAAAATGAACTCAAATTTTTAAGTATCTCTCTTTTGGTTTTTTAAGTAGATTCTTAACTCTCAGTTAGTCTTGGAACATAGGATTGATATTTTAAGAGATGTAAACATTTGAATATTTTTAGCTATGAATAATGCATTGGTTGCTATGACAACGTAGATAATGACAGTCATTACTTATAAAAATTATTCTTGATGAGTAGTGTTAAATAATTATTTATACGTTAAGTATTTATGAATTATTTAGATATATATTTTTGAACCTTTCTAAAACGGTGTAATGGTGCTACATACTGTTATATTAATTATTGGTGACAATTTAACATTTAACGATGATATTACTAGTGCCTTTAACTTTAATATCGAGCAATATATATTATAACCGTAGTATCGATAATTTGCGTGATAATATGGTTAAATTATTATTATATTAATATCGTAATATTTCGGTTCATTGCTTTTCAAAATTTTTAACTATGTATGCTTTATTTTATATCCGGCGTTGAACATCCAACCCAATTCTGAGTTTGCGACTATCAACGTTCAACTCCGTGGCCTTGTAATTTTGAACCCAACACAAAAGGCAAGAGATTTCCTGGATCAAGCATTAGGAGAAATTTGCCTTCGCGGAGGACTTTTTGATGGAACTAATCCGCCTTTGCTTTACATGGAGTGGAAAACCACAAAATTTCCCATGATTAGCCCCCGACGGCAGGGGAATTCTTACCCATGAAAAGCCTACCACTGCGGATATTTTATGTTATCACTGTGGTCGGTGCAAGCCGGGACAAAATTCGTATCAACCAGCCAACGCTGGCGTGTGAACCAGCGTCACCTCATTAGAAAACGAACAGTCTATTCCCTGAACTACCGCCGCTTTAACTATGTATATTATTGATGGTATATTAATGGCGCGCGCATCACGAGTTTTTCTTTAAGGTAGCATTTTTTTGTTGCTGTTGTTTTGGATTTTAATTAATCGCTTATTATTTATCCAGCAATATAAATGCATTCATACTTTCCAGTAAATCACAACAATACACAAGAAGGTATAAAGAGCAATTTTCTTTCTTTTGATTAATTATTTCCTTAATCCAAACACAAGCTCTTTTATCAAAATAATTATTATTTCACCGTTTAAAATATTTATAACTACCTTAAATGCTCTATTAGCATTCATAATCAAGCAATAACGTGCTTTTTTTTTCTTCCAAGAACTTCACTTAAAATTCTTATAAATTAATACAATATTCAATTCACACACTTCGTACGTAATACCGAGGTTCTAAAATAGAGTTTTCAGAGCTAATAAGGTCTTCAGAGGAACAACTTTACTCAAAATACCGTTAAGGCTCTAATTTATCACTTATGATAAAGTGCTAAATTATTTCAGTCTCTCGCACGCCACCACTATTTGTTATTCTCTTGAGCGGGTTCCGAGAAAAAAAAGAGAATAATCGTACTGTTTTCCGTTTCTCAAGCATTCAGCAGAATGCTCAATGAAATTAATTGCGGGTGTGCTGTTGATGTATGGTCTTAGTTTTTGCGTATCCCGTATGATAAAAAATTAAAATAAAGCGGCAATTTCGTTGCCAGAGTTATCGTTGAAGCAATTTTGCTGTGTTAGTTTGGCGCGAATTTAGGCGCAAATTTATTCTTATTTTGAAAAATGTTACAATTTAAGTTTAATCGTGTTTTGATTTATGTTATGACGATTTTACAATGGAATTTTTATTAAAAATGTTAGATTTTGAGTTTGCGTTTGATTCCTGATGTTGTATACAACGAATCAGTTTTTTTTTTCTTAATTGATTTATTTTACACATATTGAGTTTTAATAAACTTCTTAAAATGCTTTTAATAGTGCATCAAAGTTTAGTTCTTCGTTTCATATTTGAATCGGTGATTACCGAAAAAAGAAAACCTGTCCAAATAACTAGATTTATAAAAATAACAACAAAAAACTGTTTTCTAAAATTTTATAAAATAAACTGTATAATTAGTTTTAGTGAGCTCATTGTTACGCTACCATTGTGTTTCGTATTAATAATATAAAGTGGCGAAATGCTTTTATAATACATCAAATTTTAGTTCGTTTCACATTTGAATAGGTGATTACAGCAAAAAGAAAACAAGTCAGAAAAACTAATTTTATGAAAAATGACCATAAAAGTGTTTTTAAAGCTTTTGTAAAATAAACTGTAATAATTAGTTTAGCTAGTTCATTGTTCCGCTACCATTGTGTTTTGTATTAAAATAAAGTGGCGAAAAGCTTTTGTAATCCACCAAGGTTACCTTCGTTTCAAATTTGAATCGGCGTTTACCGAAAAAAAAAGTAATTTTATTAAAAAAAAAAAAAAAAAAAAAAAAAGATGACTAATTTTAACTAATAACTAACCTAATAATTAATTTTTAAAAAATGACAACAAAAACAGTGTTTTCCAAAATTTTATAAAATAAACTGTATAATTAGTTTTAGTTAGCTCATTGTTTAGCTACTAAGGAGTTGTGAATTAAAATAAAAAGTAGCAATTTCGTTGCAAAGTTATTTTTGTAGCAATTTGCATCGTTAATTTGGCTAGAATTGATGAGCAGAGTTATTTTTTACTTTGAAAAGAAAAAAAAACTTTTATTTAGATTTAATTTCGTTTGATTTGAAATTAATCACGAAATTGTGGAGCCATAACCTCTAACTCCCCTAGCCTACAATGTGCTGTTGGGGAATACTTTTTGCTTTGCTACGTTTGATTTATGACAAACATGAACCCACTGGAAATAAATGTTCTTTACTGATTCATTAAAAACACACGTTGCAAAATGCTTTTGTTGCAAACTAGTTAGAGAAACCATAAAGAAAATGTTCAAGGAAAATAATTGAGTGATATTACTACATTCAAAACAATTGAAAATTCCTTTAAATAATTCCGTTTTTGAAAAGTTACTTATTATACAATTCAATGTGTATCATTGATTTGATATCATATTATGCTGAACACTTTATTAAAGCAAAGGATTTAACATATTGCTCAATTATGTTGATCTCTAAGCTAAAAACTTTTTGAAAACGTTTTTTTTATTAAACTTGAAATAAACCTGTACTTGCTATGTATAGAAGGAAATAAGACTAAAACCCCATAACAGGTTTAAAACTCGAACGTACTTCTCAGAACAATCAAAGCCTCGTGAAACACTTTATGTTCAGCTGAGAATTATTAACGTCTGCTTCAAAGAAAATTTAGATGCTGTTTAAAAATTTTATTGCATTTAAAGGCAATCATAGATAATCTGTTGTTGAACTACTTATTGCGCTTTTTTTTTTACAATTTTTGTTGATAAAATAAAATTATTCACCATTTAAAAAGACATTTTTTAATAGCTTCACTGGTTAGAATAGTTAAATTATTTTTGACGATATCTTCAGAACATTTTAAATGATAACAGGTCTTGGTACTGAACATTCGAGATCTTTTGTTCCTTAGATTTAAAACCTCCTTCAGTTAACCCTTCAACACTAGGTCTCCAACCTTTCATCTGTTTACTTCTTTAGCGAACCGTTTTTTTCTTCTCCACTTTTTTCCTTATTTTTTACTTTCATTTGCACATATTTTTGTTTTATTTCTCTCGAGTATTTTAACCTCCTCCCCCCTTCTTTTTATAAATATTATTTACGTTTCATCCTTCATTGTATGTAACGCCTACATTTATGGAGTGCATAAACAGGGTGCTTAGCGTTTTTAAAAAGTGCTTAAATGTGCTTGTTTTTTATTTGCGTTTTTTAAAAGCCCTTGAAGGTGCTTTTTTCATTCGGGGTTTGTAAAAAGTGCTTACTTTTCTCTTTTAAAAAGAGATTTTTTCTTTGACGTGTGGATTGTCGTTCGAAATTACAAAAAAAATCACGATTTTCACAATTTTCTCTGCAATATTTATCGGAAACTAGATATTTTATCATGGTTATATAAAGTTTTTGAAAATGTTTTTGAATTTTATTGATTTTATGTTTATAAATTAAGAATTTTAAACGATAGAAGAAAAAAAAATTTATAACTGCACTGATCCTAATTAAGATTTTTTTTTTTTTTTGGAACGTGATAAAAAATTTTTTTTGAGTGCTTACAAAGTACCTAAAACGTGCTCTTTCATTCGGGGTTTGTAAAAAGTACTTAATGTCGACTGTCGTTCTAAATTACAAAATATGCACGATTTTCACAATTTTTTCTGCAATATTTATTAGAAACTAGATATTTTATCACGATTATGTTTAAGTAGTTACTAAGTTTTTGAAAATGTTTTTGAATTTTATTGATTTTATGCTTATAAATTAAGAATTTTAAACGATAGAAAATTTTTTATTATTACATAGATCCTAATTACGAATTTTTTTTTTTTTTTTTTTTTTTTTTTTTGTTTGGAAAGTGATAAAAAATAATTTTTGACTGCTTACAAAGAACCTAAAAGGTGCTTTTTTGTTGAAAAATCTGGCTACTCACTCTTTATAAAATTTAGTGACACCTTTCACGTGAATACTTAATTTGGATGGATTATTTTACTGATATGGTCAAAGAAAATTAGTCGGGCTTTTGCAGTAATTAAAGAAGATAGAATTTGCATCCTTTTACCCTTCTTTCTTCTTTTATAAAGTTTAAATATATGTATTTAGTTAACTTTGCTTTCTACTTGCAGATTGTTATTAAATGCTGGAGTTGATATCAACCGTTCTACGCTACGTGGTACAGCTTTGCACGAAGCAGCTATGCATGGGAAGTTGGATGTAGTACGAATGCTCATAGAGGTCAGTATAACAATATCTTTAATATTTTCATAATTCCTTATCATTTTGCATAATAATCTTAATTAAGAGGAAAGCGTTTTAAAAGCAATGTGCAAAAATGCTTTGATTTGTGCGATTAATAGTTACTACACTTCCCGTGGCAGAATTGCGGCGACAATGTCGCAAACCGTTACAGAGTTTTTGCAGAAAGATTTTTCATTTCGGAAGTGAAAAATTTTGGTTTTCTTTTCTGCATCATTATTTAAAGAATGTTCAGTTTTTTTTTTTTTTTTTCAAGTATGTCTTTCTTACGCATCAGAGATTAAACAAATGATCATTATTTTTCTAATTCTCATTTGAGATTTTAAAAAAATCGGTAATGACTAGCTTCAGCTCGAGTTTCAAATTAAATAAATTTGAATTAATGAAATTAATTAAAATAAATAAATCGCGTAAGTTTAAATGATAGTCCGCTCTAGAAATGATGTTCTTTCTTTCATTTTGTTTCTCTTTAACACTAGATTGCCTAAGGAAGTCATTTTGACTGCTTTTGATTTCAATTAGAAAAATAATGATGTATAATAATGACACAATTTCTGAGAATTTTATGACTTTTTGTACAACATATAATTTTTTTTATTGTTAATAATTACTAATAACTTGTTATATAACTGTAAATAATATAAAAAATGTTAAAAATTAATTTAAAACAAATTTATTTACGCGTTTACAATCCAGTTATTTTGACTGCTTTTGGGCAATATAGGTATAGCTCGTTCACCAGGAGTTGGCACTTGGCTCCGCCTTCATCACGTGGTATACGACGATACTATTTCGCCATTTTTGGGAGAAGGTTGTGAGCAATCCTGAACAATGTTGCTATTTGGCGATCGTTTGGCAAAAATATTAATTTCGCAAACTTTATGTGCATTTTTTTTAACAATAAATATTTAATAAATTGGATGATATTTTGCACCCTTTTTTTATGATATTTCTTTCTTTTGAGTGAATAGTTTGTCCTTTATGAGACATTTCGCTGGGAGAACAGCAGTTTTTAAATTTAAACTATATTTAATTAGCAAGTGTAACAAAATGTATAATAGTAGATGATAAAGCAAAGTAAGTGACTGAAAAAGAATTCACTTTTCGTGTTTGGCGCAAATTAAGGGTTGTCTCAATTTCAACAACGGAGATGTTTCTCTTCTAACTCCCGCTCTGAAATGAACTCTGCGTCCCAGGAGGTGGAGCCAAGTCTCAACTTCTGGTGAACGAACTATATATACTAATTTTCCGTCTTTCTAGTGTTAAAGAACACCATATTTTACATACACTTACTTGAGTATCTCTTTTTTAAAGAATCCTATTCGCGTGATTCGTGATCTTTATTTTGGGAATTACTGCTTACATTTTACGATTTTTAATTTATGTACGAATTTTAATTTATTATAGTTTAATTTATTTATGAATTTTAATTTGTGTAATGATTTACAAAATTAGAAAGAGGAAATAATGACGCCTACAAAATGCGAGAATATCGCCTATAATATTAGAATTAAAGAAATATTACTTATACAATGAAAAAAAAATTTTTATGCATTTCTTATTCTATACTTTATTCTGTTGACACAACGTTTTTGTTACTTTAAATTAGTAATTGTTATAATTGAAAGTATCTGAAAGCAAAATATTTGTGCTCGGGAAGTTTGTCATAGAAAGCCCGAAAAAATTTAGCTACAGGGCAATTTTGCCAATGCTCACTCCATTGACTCTCGTCATTCAGGTATCAGTAGGGCCGGGAAAGCCTGGTCGGTAGGGCGCTGGGCCCATGTCCGAGAGTTCGTGGGTTCGAACCCCGCCGGCTTAAGACTCCCCGTGTAGTTGGTGACTGATGCACGCTAAAATTCTGTCGAGTCACAAAGTTCTCCATGTTCCCATAACAAATCAAACCTCTGGGGGTACTGGATTGGAGATCGATCGTTCTCTGATTCAGGTCAAAATTACGATCTGTGTAGGAATGAATGGATGTATGAATGGGTCCGCCTTTTATACAGGTGTGACGTATGATGTGGCAGAAGTCACATTCTTGACCATAGATGGCGCCGCTGAAAAACAGGAATCGCACACTCTGCCTTAAATTTGCTCGGTTTCACCATGCTGACTTGCCCGTGTGGCAAGTGGCATTCGAACCAACCAGGTATCAGTAGGTCAGATTTCTTGGCTACTCTTTCAGGGGCACCATATTAAGATGGCCAACGTTAAGATTCCCACAGTTAGGACACATAGTACAGAGAATGAAAGAACATCCGTGCCTTGTCCGGTATTCGAACCTTTCTGATGCTGTAAAAGTTTATTTGCTACCATTTTTGGTGTTAAGATAAACTAAAATCATTTGCAATGCATACGGTCACATGTTTTATTTACTTTTTTACTGTTATAGTTTTTTATTTATCTCTTTATTCTTTTTTATGTGTGTTTGTTTATTGACAACGCATAAGTCCACGCACATTAGAATCAGTTTAATATCTTCATTGCAAAAACATTTCATTTTAAAACAAGCACATAATATCTTCGCACAGGTGGCCGAGCGGTTAGCGCTCCAGACTGCGAAGCCAATGGCCACGGGTTTGAATCCCGCTCGGGGCATGTCTGTTTCTCTCTCTTTTGTTGTCCTCTGTTGTGTGTGAATGTGGCCCAGCCTATGAACGGGTTTGTGGCAGTGTGGCGTGGGCAATGTTACTCGCCTCCGTGACTTTGGTTCACTGGTGCCCTCTGGGTAACGCGAAATGAGTAACACTTCTAGCATCTTCTAAGGCGAAACGATTAAAGTTCAGTGCCTGCCATTCGGGGGGGGGGGAATATTCGCACTAATCATTTCAAAGAATTATGATTTTGTCAATTACATACAATTTTTCGATAACTACAGTTTGGTTTGATTTTTTTTTAACAGTTTTATTTTTACGAATATATTTATTGCAGTTTTGTATTTTAGTTACCAATACATTTTTGAGCACCGAACTGCAGTTACCGCGCAAACAGTTTTATATTTAAGAATGTATTTGTTATAATTTCATATTTTAGTTACAAATACATTTTCGAGCTCCGAACTCTAGTTACTGCGCAAACAGTTTTAACAACAACAACAGTTTTCATATTTAGGAATATATTTGTTATACAGGGTGCGTAGCGTTTTTAAAAATTGCTTATTTTCGTTTTTTAAAAGCCCTTATAGGTGCTTTTTTCAATGGTCGTTTTTAAAAAGTGCTTAATTTTCCCTTTTTCAAAATGAGTTTTTTCCTTTATCATGTTGATTTTCGCTACGAATTACGCAAAAAGACACAGTTCACATTGTTCTATTCAACGTTTTCACAATCAATTCAATCCCAATCTATTTCGGCTTATTGTCAGTTCATAACGTATGAAATTCGTTTTAAATGATTCAAAATTTCATGAATTTTGACAATTGTCAAAAACAAGGCCGAAAGGTTTTTTTACAATTGTCAAAAACAAGGACGAACGTTTTTTTTTTTTTTTTTTACTTGTCAGTTAAAACAATATAAGACCGTCAATTGTCAAAAACTTTCCAACCTTGCCTAATTATGATATTTTTTCAAGCGCTTAAAAATATTTTTGAGTGCTTGAAAAGTGCTTAAAAGTGCTTATTTTTTGATGAATAATTTGGATACGCACCATGTTATAGTTATGTATTTAAGTTACAGATACATTTTTGGGCACCGAACTGCACTTACCGCTCAAACAGTTCTAACAACAATAACAGTTTTATATTTAAGAATATATTAGTTGCAGTTTTGTATTTAATTTATCCAACACTAAAAAACACTGTCTATCTAACACTAAAGACTATCTATCAGATTTTTTTTTCTTTCTTAAATTTCCGTTTTTCACTATATTGCTGAAACTACACTGTTAAAAAAGTAATTGCCCCCTAATTACTTTTTTTAACAGTGTAGTTTCAGCAATATGGTGAAAAACGGAAATTTAAGAAAGAAAAAAAACTCTATCTGATAGATAGTGCTTAGCTTTCTTTAATATTTTGCATGACGTGCTAGAATGCGAAACCGTCGAAAATTGGCTGCAGGGTGTTACGTAATTACTGCCTTTAAAGTGTATTTTTAAAACCCTTGCAAAAAATGACGTAGTATGCATAATTAGGGATACGAATCAATGTTTAAGAGTGGAAAACAAAAAAGCTGACAAAATCTAACGGATCACAACTAGGTGGAGACTAAAATCACTAAAAACTTGGAGGTGTTACAAATAAACGCATTTCAACTCCTTCGCTTGTTTCGTGAAACAGGTTATGCTGTTTTCAGTCTGCCTTCTTCAATGATGATTCGTTACATTTCTAAGGCATTTTTGTTTTGATAACCTCTATTAAATGTTAATTTACAACCCGTAATGTGTATTTTTTTTACTGAAGTTATGATGCATTTTTGGTTCAATTTGTTAATGATTTTTTGTTTAATGAATGTTAATGATTATTATAATATAATGAATACACAACAGATTTCAAAATATCATTTCTATAATTACATATACTTAATTAAATCATTATTGACTTATTTGTTTCATTATGTAATCATTAACAATCTCTTTAAACTTAAATCACAATTTTTCAATAATATTTTATTTATTAATTAACGTAATATTTACTTGAAAATCATTGAAAGAATCTTCTATGAGCAAGTTTCATTTTATTTGAAAGAAAAAAAACTCTTACAAATTTTAAAACACATTGCTAAATGCCCAAAAATAGTTCAAATCTGAAATTATCCAAGATATATATATGTATATATTTTAACAATTGTATTTCTTGAAATATTTGTAAATAAACTACAGACTACTATAGATTAACTAGAACATTTTTTTTCCTATAATTTCGCGAACAACTATTATTCAAAGAACTATTTTCCTAAAATAATGAAAGGAATAAAATGCATATAAATAAATTAGTTACGCTTATGGTATGTTTTTAAAACCATTCGTACTGTGGCACTGTGAAGGTCATCAAATGATTTTTGAATCATTGTTTATTATATTGCATAATTTTAATTAATTAAAAATTGGTGCCTATTAGAAATTAATATTATTTATTAAATGAAATTTATTTATAAAATAAATTCTAATATTATCTGAATTAGTTATTGAAAAATTTCCAGAGTCAGTATGTGAATATCAAGAATTAATTATTTCTGTGATAAATTTATATTGCAGTTCAATTAAATGTGAAATCAAGGATTTTATATCATTCATAATCACTTGTAAAAAGACTGAAAATGTAATTGTTTTGGTTTGCTTCCATAATGAAAACAAGCTTTACTTATTTATCAACAGTTTGTCTATAATAAATTTCTATTAATTAACGCTACTTAAATTTAAATGTATGAAATTACCTTTCTTTTTTATATTTCAATATTATACTTAGAAAAATCATATGATTACTTTATTTATACTCTACTTGAGTTTTAACTCTATAGATGGCAGCACCATGTTAGATTCCTCAAATAAATTAAAAGAGATTTTTCCAAAATATTTGAAAATTATTGTTATTAAACCGTTTGTATAATGGAATAGTGTTATAATTTTTCTAAAATTAGATATTATATACTAATTATAAAAAGAATTAATAATTTATTGATTTATTTAAATTAAATTTCTAATCATAAAGCATTTTTTTTAACCTTTAACCAATAATTTAATTAAATAAAACTACCCTAAGCTTCCTAAAAATATCTCAGGAAAAAAAAACTGAATAAAATTTTATTTTTGAAGAAATAATATTATATAGATACATATATTATATTAGAATTAATAATTTATTAAGAATTTATATTGATTTATTTAAATTAAATTTCTAATCATAAAACAGTTTTTTTTAACCTGTAACCAATAATTTAACTAAATAGAACTACCCTTTTCTTTTTGAATAAATAATATTATATAGATACATATATTATATATCAAGTTATATAATGTATAACTGGTACATAATAAGTAATAACGAGAAAATTTAATAATTTTTAAAATTCAGCACCCTGCACGCAATGCTTCAAAAAAAGTTGCTTTGAATTTAATTGAAATAAAAATTCGTATAAAAAAGTATGTGAAAAGCAGTACAGCAAAGGAAAGAGTTTAGAACCCCTTCCTAAGCAAAACTTATTATTCAAAAAAATAAATATTTCAAATTTTCATTTAAAATTGTAGTCATACATATTTTACATCAATATTAGAGTTTTCAATAACATGTAATTCAAATGCAATGCGAAATAAAAACAAAGCAAATTCATTCTTAAAATTTTTCTACTTTTATTATTATTTTTTTCCACTTTTATTATTTATCTACTTTTGTTATCTACCGTTATTTATAAACTGAATCCTTACAGACTTGAAATTCTAGTTATGATGACCTTCCAAGGGTATAAATATGAAATTTTTTATAAAACCAGAGTTTCTAGTTTTATTTAAATATTATTTTTCATTTTTAAAAAATTTGTATTTTCTAGCCGTATACAAATATAATCTCATTCTCTGAAATAGCATAAAATTCTAAATATCAACTTTTTTAAATGATATAATATATTACTTAATAACATTTTAATTAACAATTTATTAATTTGTGCTTTTGTAGAGTGGTGTAGATGTCAACAAACCGAATTCTTATGACCAAACTGCCTTGGACATAGTTCGCTCCTTCACTACTTGCCATGCTGAAAAAGAAATGAAAAACATTCTGAAAGGTAAATTTTTAATTCTTAACTTTTTTTTCTCCTACCTTTTCTATATTCTTTTCAGTTGTTGTTACTTACTATTTGCTTTTTAGTAACAACGGGTGCATAAATAAATAACTTTTCCTTTCCTAATTATAAATGGAGCAGAAAGATTCAAAAGTCTTCTAATTGAACATTTTCATTCTAATAGATAGATATTATAATTATACTATCGTCTGCTTTTGAATCGTTTTGTATAGAAATATAGCATGATTCAAACAGAATTTTATTCGATCTTTAAACAATAATATTTTGAGACTATCTGACGTTATCTTTAGAAATCTTTAGATGTTCTTTTATTTATTTATATTTTTTGGAGGATATTTTACAGGAGAAAAGAAACAGTTTATCAAAGCAATACTTTACTGTAAGCTGCGAAGATAAAACTTCGACTTTTTTTTTTTTCCAATTTAAAAAAAAAAATTTGTTTCTTTGAAATTGTCATGTTTTAAAAGCAATTTTGTAAAAATTAATCATTCCTTAAATAATGGGAAAGAGCTCAAATATGTTAGAAATATTTGTTCCGAATAATTCTGAGATATTTATCCTAAAATTTTTCTTAAATACATTATCGAATTTCTGAGATTTGCTTCGAAATTCTTTATTTAATATTCTTAAATACATTATCGAATTTCTGAGACATTGTCTCGAAATTATTTGTAAATACGCTATCGAATTTCTGAAATCCCCCCCCCCTCCGCAATTCTGGATTTTTTTATTCTTTCTTAAATTCATTATCGAATACTTAGAATATTTTTTCAGAATTCTCTATATTTATTCTTAATTTCGTAATTGAATTTCTGTGTTTTAAATTATTAAATACGTAGAATTTTTGAGATATTTGTACCGAAATCCTGTATTTTATATTCTTAAATATACTATTTAATTTCTATGATATTTATCCCGAAATTCTATTAGTTATACTTATAAATACATCATCGAATAATAAAGATACTTTTCCAAAACTCATTATTTTTATCCAAAAATGCTTTATAGAAGTTTTGCGATATTTGTCCTGAAATTATACTTAATTACGTTATCAAATTTCTGAGATAGTTTTTCTGAAATTCCGTATTTTATACTCTTAAATAAATTGTCAAATATCAGAGATACTTGTTTTGTTCTTAAATTCGATATTGAATTTCTAAGATATTTTTCCCAAAATTCTGTATTTTATATTCTTTTTTAAATTCATTATTGAATACATAGGAAATATTTTTTTTATTATTATCTATTTTTATTCTTAAATAAGTAATTGAATTTCTGAGATATTTGTTTCAAATTTCTGTATTTATATTACTAAATACATAATGTAATTTCTATGATATTTGTCCCGAAATTCTGTATGTTCTATTTTTAAATACATTATGGAATAATAAAGTTATTTTTCTAAAACTCTATTTTAATCCAAGAATGGGTTATAGAATTTCTGCGATATTTGTCCTGAAATTATTCTCAAATACGTTATCAAACTTCTGAGATAGTTGTTCCAAAATCTCGTATTTTATACTCTTAAGTACATTATTGAATATCTGAGATATTTGTTACAAATGTCTATATTTTATATTCTTTAATACATTTTCGAATTTCTCAAGATATTTTTGCCTCAATTTTGTATTTTATTTCTTAAATACGTTATCCAATATCTGAGATATTTGTTCCAAAACTTATTTTTCTTCTTAAACACATAATCTTATTTCTGAGATATTTGCTCCAAAATTCTGTGTTTTTTATTCTTAAATTTTGTCATCGAATTTGAGATATTTGTTCCAAAAATTGTATTTTTTATATCTTTCACACATTATCAAATATCTGAGTTCCGAAATTCTACATTTTTGTAAAGGATTTAATTTTAGGGTGCTTCTTAAAATTGTAAACTCAATCATTTCCATATGTTGTTTTTTTTATTTACTTCTTGCTAAACACTTATTAAATAGAAATTTTTTTAACTTTAATCACAAAACTTTCCTTTGGTTAATGTCTCATTAATTCTTCTGATTTAAGTTACCATAAGAAAATCTTGCGAACTCCTTTCAATTATTTATTTTTGACCATTTTGTACATTGTATATATTTATATATTGTATATTTTGACCATTTTGTATATTGTTTTTTTTTTTTAAAAATTATTTTTATATCATATCAAATATTAAAATATAATAGCGTTGATATTTCCCTATAAATTTATTACATTTTTATTATGTATTTTCTTTGAACTAATTCCAAAAAAGCGCCAACCTCATTAGTATTCTATAAAGACAGTTCATTCGTTCAAACACCTTAGTGTGTAGGTGTCGTAATCTGTCTTCGAACATCTGTTATAAGAGAGGAAAAAAATTCCGTCTGGGTTAGGGCAAAATTTATTGGTTTAAGAAGAAAGACATCAAAATAAAACAAATTCGGTGCCATTTAATAGTTATTGAATTATTATCTATTCATTTATCAAAAGTCATTTATTAGATTTGCGCAAAAGAATAATAATTTCCAAGATTTTAAGATAGGCATAATTTTTTTTAATAATCTATTATCCATTAAAAAACGACGATTGAAAAAAAACGATAAAAGCGTACTGAAATAATGCTCTTTTTAGTGATATAATTTACGATCAGTATTGCGATTTATAATTGTATATTAATTACATATATTTTTTCGATCGTCATCCAAGATCTTGTACAAAGCGTAATTTAAAATTAATGTAAGTTTTCTTTACCCATCTTTGAAAATTTCTACACCGTTTCTGACTCTCTAATTTCTAGCAAAAATATATTTTGACATTTTTTGATTATAAAAAATAGTATAATAATTACTAAAATAATCTGTTAGAATATTGGAATTATATTTACACTAAAATAAAAAAAATCCCAAAAAGGTAGTTGGATTTTTTTTTAAATTCATATTCAAAAATTTATCTATTACAAATTTATTTATTCTGTCAAAAATTTATCCATTCTGCTGTTAACCCTTTGACGCAGATGGGACACCGGTGTCGTTTTTATTTTTTATTTTTTTCTGTCGCTCTAATTACTAGAAAAAAATATATTGTGAAATATTTTAGTTATAAAAAACAGTCTAATAAGTACTAAAATAATCTGTTAGATTATCGAAATTATTTGCACTAAAATAAAAAAATCCCAAAAAAGTAGTTTGATTTTTTTTGAAATTCATATTAAAAAATTTATCTATTACAAATTTATTTATTCTGTCAAAAATTTATCCATTCCGCTGTTAACCCTTTGAGGCAAATGGGACACTGGTGTCGTTTTTATTATTATTTTTTCTGACTCTGTAATTACTAGCAAAAATATATTGTGAAATATTTTAATTATAAAAAACAGTCTAACAAGTACTAAAATAATTTGTTGGATTATCGGAATTATATTTGCACTAGAATAAAAAAAATCATGAAAAGTAGTTTGATATTTTTTTAAAAATTCATATTCAAAAATTTATCTATTGCAAATTTATCCATTCCGTCAAAAATTTATCCATTCCGCTTTTAATCATTTGACGCAGATGGGACACCCGTGTCGTTTTTATATATTTTTTTTCTGACGTTTTAATTACTAGCAAAAATATATTTTGAATTTTTTTAATTATAAAAAGCAGTCTAATAAGTACTAAAATAATCTGTTAAGATTATCGGAATTATATTTGCACTATAAAGTAGTTTGATTTTTTTTAAATTCAAGATTTGGAACTTTTTATTTTTTTGAATTAATTAATTTTTACATCCAAGGAATTAATTTCTAATGCTGGAAACACTGGAAAAATTTTATTTTATTTATTTAGTTACTTTAAAAATATTTCAAACAAATAAAAATTTATATTTTGGATAAATGAGGAAAGAAATCTATGACAATTAAACCATAAGAATTCATTTTCTATGCCCGAATCACTAACGAAACGATATTAAATCAGCACTGGGCAATATCTGAATACTTTTAATTTCAGAAGAAAATAAAAATATAGGTAAAGCTAGTTTGGAAACTAAAAAACGCATCACATTCATATAAAATCTCCTCAAAATTTCGATAAATACTAACATGTTTACTAGTTTTGATGAATTAAGTAATTCTACCAAAATTCCAGTCTTTATCAAAATTGACATCTATGGCCCACACATCACATGTGTTGTCAAGTCGCCTCGTAACAAAACCCACTCTTTGCAACACTTTTAAAACTATTTCAAGGGGCAGGCTAAGAAAAATAAAAATAAAAATGTTGAATTTGCTACATTCTCGACTCTGTCATTAAACCAACAAACATCATTGCGATGCAGACTAGAAAAGAAAAAAAAATTAAACAAAATGGTTGGTGGGCTTCGAATATGGAGAGGGCGCGGTTTATTTGCCGTATCGTTTTCGATCTGATTTTTCTTCAAAGAAATATGCGTGTTTAGGTTTATAAAATTACTAGGTTTTAACAACAATATAAATAATATGCATTTATTGAACTGTACTAAACTAGTAGAAAGAATTCTATTATCTTTAGCCATCACATATTTATGGCAAAGTGTGTTTCCATAAATTATATACAATTTGGTTCTGGGAACAAAATTCAAGAGTAAAATATGATTTCAAATACTTGGAGTATTATTATAGGGAAAAAAAAAGAATTATAATAATTTTCATTTATTTCTGTTTATATAATCTTATTTAATATTTCTAGATGATAAAATGCTCCTCGTATTTGTTTATTTCAAATAAAATAGTTCAGTTAGCTAAAAGTTATTTTACCAGCGTTTGCGTCCATCTTTACTCATTTTTTAATGATTTTTTTTTATTTAAAACTTTGTTTTTAACTATTTGTTATACTATTAACTAACATTTTGTTTGGCATTCCTTTAAACATCCATTTAACCACATGTTGTATCTTTATATTTTTTAAAGTTTTAAATAAACTGATATAAAAGCCAAAAGAGTTAAATAAAAACTGACTTAACCTTTTTTTTTACCATATTTTTCCTCACTT